TATGCATTAACAAAGTCTAGTAATCGGGCATATTATTATGGATAATCATTGAGTAAATATTTTAAGTTAATCATAATATTTAAATAGGTATTAATAAACCTATGAATATATTATATTTTCATATTGTCTAGAAATAATACCTAATATTCGTTTATCAAACTTACCACATCACTTCCGGAAACTATTGTGCATGCAATTATTCCTGAGGTTATCATTATAACAGAAACATATTTTGATAAGTTGTATCTTTTTTTCAGGATTATTATTCCCATGATCATATTTGCTATTAAAGATCCCTAAAAAATATACATATCAGTACGTAATTATTGCATTCATTTATTATACATTATATAACTAGAAGAAATGAAAAAACTCACCGCTCTAAATATCATATGTAGAGGCATAGGAATATTAAAATCAAACGCGTAATTGTTGCAAACATTTGTAAAGAAGAACATTATAACTAAAATACTGTAGTCTTTCATGCCAATGCTAGGTTTTTTGGTTCCACATTTTGAGGTAAATATAAATCCTTGTAGTGCAATGAAGGCAAATTGAAGAAATGTAATCAAGTTACCAGCACCTGGGTCTTCTCTAAAAATTCAATGAGTTTTAACATGGTTGTTTTAAATTATTGGAAATGATTAATACATACTTTACCAACAATTCTAGGAAAACAACATTGCTGCAACAACCAACAAAAACGAATATTATTGCCAATATAGCTTTAGAATTCATTGTAAAGTAATGATTGATTATGATTTGCAATATGAATATGTATAATTTTGCACATTAATACTGATATCTTAATATCACAATTAAATAAATTTACACATATGTACAAATTAATTCATGAGTCCGCAATAGTTTAAAAAATGTATTTTAGTTAATAAATACATGTCTAATTTTTGGTTTGAAGGTTAAAATTTATAATGACATTGAAGGTTATATCGATGATTATATGTAAACGTAAACGCGCTTTTTACACAACATGCAATCTTGATCGCGATATGGATACAATGGATGAGGTTGATATGAACAATAATCATCATACTTATGAAATAAATTATCTGTATTTCGCTTTAAAGGTTGAGTAAAAAAAAATTGATTTATATGAGGAAACTACTGGGGCATGTCTCGTATCGATAATTAAAACTTGGAAAAAAAAACTTTAAATTTTTTAGAAAATTTAAAAAATTAGATTTTTGAAATTTTTGAATAAAAATTATTTTTTTGAAAATTTTCAAATTTTTATTAAAGCAAGCGCTGTATAGCTCTTTTATAACGAAATATCGAAACGCATGAGCGCCGCATCGCTGGTAAAGGTGGATCCACACCTAACGAACGAATATGAACAAGCAAGAATTGCGTACCAGAACGAACGGCAGCGAGCATAGTGTGGACGCCACAACGAACACAAGCAAACATAGCAATGTTCGGCAACTTGTCGGTACATCAAAGAAAATTGTTCGTTTATGTTTGAACCCGTATGTGTAGTGTGGTCGTCTACCACGAATGTAGACAAACATTTTTCTTGTTTGATGTTAATATGTGCAGTCCTGCATTAGTTTATGTTTTGACTATTATATTGCTGTTATTGACCAATTTTGTAAATTTGATCACTTTAAATAATTTTTCTCTTTTCCGCCACTTTAAATAATAAAACTGACGTTTCACGGTACATCCTCGCATAAAGAAGATGCATGTCCTCACTGCAGGTCATTTTTCCCCTAAGTATTCCTTCTGAAAGAGGATTTTGTTCTAAAAATCCCATAGACCTTATACAATACAGTATAGTATTCTATAAGGTCTATGGGAGCGGGCCATAATAGCTCGCTCCATTGCACGAATCCGTACGGCGAATCTGTTCGCAATGTGCGTAGACTAAATTATGGCAAGCAAAAGCGAACCTCGCGCATGTCAAAAACAGGATTCGCCGTGCGCGTTCGTGCAGTGGAGCGAGCTACTTCGTATAAACCATGGTTAAATTAAAACAATGCATAGTTAGAAGTATATGATAATTTGATTTACTTCTGCATATGCCTAATGATCATTTTTGACCGCCTGATGGCATTTTCTTACTTTTTCTTATTGGATCTCCGAAACCGCTGGATTTGATGCCTTCCCAAAAATATGTAATCCATCAGTAATTTAAAATGTTTTTTGAATAATTAAAATCGGATGCTCCGGTCTCTCAAACACTGAATAATCATTTTTGGCCCGTTTCGAAACGCTTGGACCTGCCTTTGCCAAAAACTAATCAACCTATGATTATATTGTCTAGACTAATCAGTACGTCTCCCCATCTATACGTATCGTCGAATAAATACGATTAAATTTTAATTATTCAAATTGGTTGATCCGAGATCCCGTAATCATCGACGAAGATTTGTATCCGCATACACACACACATACATACTTTTAAAACGTAAAGATATATAACAAATTTCAATTTCGATTACTATAATTTATCCTACAGAAGTTAATATAATTATATCTTCTTCAAAGTATAGGACCTTAATATGCTTATTTATCTATGGACCAAATATTCTTTTCAATAATTGAGAATATGCATATTTAACAAATACATAGTATTCTGTATAGTTTTTAAGACAACTGGATGAAGGAGGAAACATATTAATAAAGTTCATAAAACTAATTTTTATAAAAGAAAATATACCGGATGATAAGAAGCATTTGACTTTATAGATGTTTTTTAGACAAAGTAAAAAAAAAAGCATAAGAACTAACTGTTTTAAATTCTCTAAATTAGACTTGTAAGATTATAATAGAACAAAATTTTACGTCGTAGAATTTTATTTATAGAAATAATCCCTGTGTTAAAATTTGACTCCTGATAATTGCGGGTATCTTGGGATATTTATTCTAGTGAGTACATATATTTTTATACTTGTATAAAATACCTGTACCAAAAACCACACAAATTGTGATGTGGCTTCTTGTAGTGTACATTCTAATACCATGGCACATTAGTGTTTTTTTAAAATTAATTAAAAAGAACAAATTATAATTTTTTTCTTGATTATTTTAATATTATCATTATTTTTATTCTTAAACTATTTTCTTAATTTAATTATTATAGTTGACAATATATTCCATTCACTAATGGCTAGGATCATAGCAGAAACGAAAGTATGGATATCAAATAAATTTTTAAAAAACAATCATACAATTTTTATTGATCTTTAAACCGCGCCATATCTTTAAACCTCATACACACACACATACATATATATATATATATATATATATATATATATATATATATATTTTTTTAAACTAAATTCACCAGATATTCGGCAAATAGAATATAAGCATCCAAGATAATAATCTTGCAATGCTAATTAAGCTACAAAATAATTGAGAATTTATTATACAACTTTCAACAACTGAAAAGGGCTTTTTCTTTCAGAGCTTTGAGTCCGAACATTCTCCACTCCGTTTGTGATAGCCATAGTTCTGGAGAACTTTCCAAGCAAGACATTACGGCCGCCCCCTTCCATGCTGTAATTTCAGGGTCCATTTCTTTTGCTCTCGAAATAATGTCTATTTGATCTATATAACTTTTGCTTTAGATGATGTTCTCAAATTCATATATATATATATATATATATATATATATATATATATATATATTGATAGTTTTTTTGATGTTGAAACATATTTAGGAGTAACTAGCAGTCCATTCATGGAAATTGTTTGGTTATTCATCATTTTTATTAACTTCCCGTAGGGCAAGTTATAGTAATCGCAAAAAAATCGAAAATGAAAATTTTTATATATCTTTACGTTTCAGAGGTTTCTGAACATTTTGGCATACCTTAGAAAAAATGGATGTATGTGTTGTGTGTGTGTGTGTGTGTGTGTGTGTGTGTGTGTGTATGTATGTATGTGTGTGTATGTATGTGCGGATACAAATTTTCGTCGACGATTTCGGGAACACGGATCAACCGATTTGAATAATTCAAAAAACATTCGATCCGTATTGAGAAGGAGACGTGCTGATTAGTTTTTGGCAAAGGCGGGTCAAGCCGTTCCGAAGATACGGGGCAAAAAGTTCCGAAAACGGTAACTCAGTTTTTAAGAGAACGGAGCGTCCGATTTTAATAATTCAAAAAACATTTTATTTGTATTGACAAGATGAAGAATCGATACAACTTTCATAAAGGTAGGTCCAGCGGTTTCGGAGATATAGAGGAAAAAGTAAAAAAATGAGCCATTTGGCGGTCAAAAATGATCATTAGACATATGCACATCAAATTATCAGACATTTTATAGAGATTTTAACAATAAGTATACATTTTGTTAACATTCCTATCGGTTCCGTACCAATGCTTATGCGTTAGACAGCAACGCGGCGCTTACGCGCTTTATATTTTGTCCCTATGTAGTTAAAGCAGTACGATTGCTTTGAAAAAAAAGTTCAGATCTTCCACAATATGTCAAAATAAAGAAAAAAAAAATTTTCAAAAAAAAAATTTTTTTTTTTAATTTTTTTTTTCAAAAAAACTAATTTTTTGTCCAATTTATAGTTTCTCAAAAATCTTATTTTTTCAAAGTAATTTTTTTTCAAAAATGTTAATCGTTTTAAAAAAAAAAAATAATTTTTGGTACGGGAAGTTCCAGCAATTTGCCTTAAGGCACGATGCCCTAATTGCCTTAAGACAGAATTCCACTTACAGCTAGTTTTTCCATATAATTGTCATGATACAATGTTAATTTAAAAAAAAAAATTTTTTTTGTGTTTTTGTCCTGGTGTTGCTGAATGATGACACGCATCTTGTGTCGAAATGTATAAATAAAAAGTTTTAATTACATTTTACATTTTTTTATTCCGACAAATGGGCTGCTAGTTACTCTTAAATAAATATATTATGTGAATACTGAAAATTACCAGATCTATATGCAAAGGGAACCTGAAGAGATAGTCGATTCTGTAACCAGTTATCTATACCACAAAACTTCATTCCACCCCCAACAATCAAAATGCATGAATACATTTTCCTCTTTAATTCTTCTGCTGTAAGACAAATATTGTAGCAGAATATTACATATGAAATACAACTTTTAACTTTGACAAATTTTAACAACTCTTACAGCATCTATCAATACTTTGCAGAATGGCTTGGTCCAGACCCAAAATTTGTCCTGGTAAAACTTGGAAATCTTTGTCAAGTACTTTTATTTCTTTCTCACCATCTAAACCACAGTCTACTACAATATCTTCTTCCTTCTCAGTTGCAATATCACATTGAACGTCGGCAACAGCGGTATCATTGTTGTCTTTTGTACCTTTTCTCTGAAATTTGTATACAATAAAATTGACACGTTATAAATATATTTACTTTGAAAATATAAACATACACCAGTTTCTCTTAAATATTCAGCATCAAAACAATCTTCAGCATCATTTTGTGGAAAAGATGATTGAGTTCTTATACCACATGGCCCGGTCACCCCTAGTAGTTCAGTATTAAAAAAGCTTAATGGTGCAACTAAACATTCATCGCCAACCTGAATATAATATGTTAATTAACTTTTTATTTTTTCTTGCATAACAGACTATGCTCAAATTGTTATAATCAGGCTTCATAAATGCAACTAATAAATTGTACTACCTGTAAAATATATTTTTTTGATGCCTTGCTTGGTTCACTAATTATGAATGATTTCTCTTGTGAACCACATATGTCCTAAAAGCACAATAATAATAATTATTTCATATTAAATGTATATTGCTTAAACAAATAATAGAATTTCTACTAACTAAATTAACATGGCAAAACTCTTCTTTAAGTTTCTGCAAGAGCACTGCATCTCGTGGAAGCTTATCTGAACATTCCTTATATGGAAAAGCACATTTTTGTAATAACCAATAAAAAGTTTGTGTAATATGTGCACCTCCATAGGGTAATCGAATCTAAAAATATCCAACCAAGTTTATATAGAAAATAAAGAAGAACAAACAACATACCCTAGTGTTTGGTTGTGAGATACAATCCTCTACACAAGATATGGATGTTTTCTGATCACCAACGTCAACAACACAAGCATACGGTAATCCAGCTCCAAATGTGGCTGCTGAATGATCCTTCAAATTGTTTTCATAAGATCAATCTTAAATATTTTATATATAGATTATTTGTTAATTATCAATTCGGTACCTGCACCAAAAAACAGCTTTGAAATCCTAATTCGTTTAATAGTAAATTTGTTAACTCTCGAAGATGGCCTCTATGATGAATATCAGGTATAACTAGTACAGCTTTATATTTATGTAAATCTCTATTAAAGAAAATATTTATATTTTTATAATCTATTTATTTAATTCCAATTTTGAATTATTTCAAGAACATTCCATTTTTAATAATAAATATATTATTATTAGTATAATATTATAATATTATTCTAATAATAATATATTATTAGTATAATATTTTTTTTCGAATTATTCACTAGTCTTATCTATATAATTCTGTAATGTACTCTGTATAATTATGATTATCTATTATATTATTAACTTCCCGAAGAAGAAGTTTATGTTTTCTTCAAAAAATTCGATTCGCTAATTTTATGTTTTCTCGACGTTTTAAGCCATTCTGAATCGAATGAGACCAAATTTGGAAAAAGTATGTGTGTGTGTGTGTGAACAGATTTTTTGATTTCTCAAAAACGGCTAGACCGATTTCAAAAATTAAAAAACCATTCGATAAATCGCGATGAGGACTAATGTTTGTCAGTTTTGTGCGTCGATTTGCCTAGCCGTTTCTTTGTAATTTGAGCTCATACTAACAAATCGATTTTAAAAGAACTGTTCGAAAGATATTAGTTGGGAATAATGCTGATTAGTTTTAGGTGAAAATCTACCGAGCCGTTTTCTTGTAATTAACCGTTGAAAACAAAATTTAAGCCGATTTTTATGTAACTTTTTTTTTGGAACGATATATATATATATATATATATATATATATATATATATAAATATATATCATGGTCTTATAGAACTATCTGAAATATTATGGCCTTACGACAAGTAGTTTAATTTTAAAAATTCATCAAAGTTTGAGAAAATGAGTAGTTTTTTTGGCGTTTGTTAGAATTAAAATTAGACGATTTACTTATTATAACGATCGTTTCTATCGATAGAGTACCTTAATGAGGTCTTAATGAACATACTAAACTATTAGAGTCCTACGGAAACTGGTTCAATTATAAAAATTATTGATTTTTGAAAATTTGCTTTAAGAAATACTGCGAGTTAACGTGTTCGTTCGTTTTCAAATATATGCACTCGAAATACTTTTAATCACTGTTAAATTAATTTATTTTTTATTGATTAAGTCGATTATTTATACATATCGGGAAGTTCATGTAACATTTGCTTATGAATATGAAACTTAGGAGTAATGAGAAATATTACGTAGACTATAATTTGAACATCCCGCCTTTTCTCGACCGCAACGATATATTGCCATATTGCATTGGCAACATACGTCAAGTAAAGACATTAACCTAACCTTTCTCTGAAATAACAAAACAATCAATAAAAAATGTCTCGAATATTTACACCTACAAATCAAATAAGATTAACAAATGTAGCAATAGTTCGTATGAAGAAGGGAGGAAAAAGATTTGAAATAGCTTGCTACAAGAATAAAGTTGTGTCATGGCGCAATGGTATAGAAAAAGATATCGACGAAGTTTTGCAAACCCATTCTGTATTTACTAATGTATCTAAAGGACAAATAGCTAAGAAAGAAGATTTACAAAAGTATTTTGGTAAAGACGACGAGACGGCAGTATGTAAAGAGATTTTATCCAAAGGAGAACTTCAGGTATCTGATAAAGAACGCAATTCACAATTAGACTTATTATTTAAAGATATAGCAATGACAGTTACAAATAAATGTGTCAATCCCGATACTAAACGCCCATATCCGGTAACTATGATAGAAAAAGCAATGCGAGATGCTCATTATTCAGTAAAACCCAATCGAAGTGCTAAACAGCAAGCTTTAGATGTTATTCCATTATTAAAAGAAAATATGCCAATTGAAAGAGCTCAGATGAGATTACGAATAGTATCTTCAGGAAGAGAAAGTAAAGTAGTTCGGGAAAAACTTTTAAAATTAATAACAACTATAGAAAGTGAAGAATGGGACAATGCGACATTAAATTTAGTTTGTTTAACAGATCCAGGACATTACAGAGAAATTGATGAAATTGTAAGATGTGAAACAAAAGGAAATGGATTATTAGAACTGTTAAATCTTAAAGCAATTGTTGAAGAAGATGAACTAATTGAATAATATATATATCATACTTACTATTTACGTCAAATAAAAATTAAAAAAGCTATTTTGAGTTTTTAAAAATTATACAATATGGTGATAATTTGTACTTGTAGATATAAAACTAATAAAAGGTTAATCTGATAACTCTTTTATAATAAAATTTACAATAAAATGACTAAAACTAGTTAAAGAGTCGTATTAAATTTTGTGAATATGTTGTTTGTTACCTTAACTTTCATGACTATTTATTATATTATCACAATGATATATTTAGTATGAAACATAAATATATCTGAAAAATTATTTAGAAAAATAAAATTGACGATTTATAAATGAAGCAAGAATAACTCCATAAATTTACTTATATTATAAGCTTGGCATATTGAAAATATGAATGTTACGATCTATGCAGTATTAGGTCTTCACTTACTTGCTATCAATTTTTAGAAGCTTTGTTAATGCATATTCCCAAATAGTTTTCATATTTGCTATTGCTCCAGTGATGGAACCACCAATATTGCTATGAAGATTCAATTCTCCATTTTTCATTGGAAAATGAATGTTATAGTCACTATCACTTGTTAAATTTGCTACCTATAATCAAAAATATAATATAGAAAATTAAATTTTGCAAGTAGATTAATTTTCAGACATTTATTACCTCATCGCCAATAATAGTGTCACCTTCGGGAATAAACAAAGGATTTATTGTGCCAGATAATTCTTCTGGTTGTGATCTTCTATTAAATGCTGCAATTTGTTGAGGAGGTGTGGCATATCTAATATAAATCATATAAGAAAATATTCAAAATGTTTGATCTTGAGATAATATTTATGTACAAAAATAAGTATGAATTTTCAAACAAGTAAATTATTAACCTTCGTGTACCATCTGACTGAATGCATGATTGCAAAGTATGTGAAACTTGTAGACGTGATTCTTCAACTTCTTGAAGAGCAGCTTTAGACTGAGGAAACAGTCATTAATTAAGCCATAATAATTGACCAACAAATATTTCATCACATTGATGAAGTTTGGTAATATGATTGATTTTAATATTGATACAAAAATCGTAAATGCAGTTATAACTTTTCATAATTACTTTAACTATACATGTCGGCAAAAATTGATCTTGATGGATAAGCCCAGGAGTTTTTCGTTTTCTAGCAACTACATGTAAAAGCTTGAACGGATTAATATCCGACGCCCGTCCTATTCTTAGATAAAATGAACCAGGATGAATTATTATTATAAAATCAGATTGTACAGACTAAAACAAAAAAAGAGGTTATGAAGCAATATCACAAGCGTATTGTATAGTGTATTTTCACTTTACATCAAATTCTGAACTTAGCGGCATAATGATTAGTAATTATTAATACAAAAATAAGTAATTATATTCTTTTCAGGTAAATATTCGTGACCATTATTTAGCTTTCCATGTAAACATCAGAGCGCTTTATTTTAACTAATTCAATGTCAATGTAGCGCTATCTGAGGAGTACAGGCTTTACTAGAACCTAAGAATTACACCATGATGAGATACTTGCTGGAACTTCTCGTATAATATAAATATAAATATAAAGACGTAATTTACACACAATGTGTACACATTATTAAAATCTCTATAAAATATCTGGTAATTTGATGTACATATGTCCAAAAATTGCCTTCGCAAAAATTTAATCAGTTGTACATCTTGTCAAGACAAGTAAAATGTTTTTTGAATTATTAAATCGGACGTTCCGTTCTCTTAAAAACTGAGTTATCGTTTTTGGCACTTTTTGGCCCGGAACTGCTAGACCTGCCTTCGCCGAAAACTAATCAGCACGTCTCCTTATCAACACGAATCGAATGTTTTTGAATTATTCAAATCGGTTGATCGGTGTTCTCGAAATTGTCGACAAAAATTTGTATCCGCGCGCACACACACACACATACACACACCAATTTTTTCTGAGGTACGCAAAATGCTCAAAACCTTTGAAATGTAAAAGTATATAAAAAATTTCATTTTCGATTACGATAACTTACCCTACGGGAAGTTAATTATTTATTGAATAGCCAAAAATAGAGTCAATCCATAGATAAAAGAATATAAGTCAAACATACAAGATAGAATTTTTTTAATTTCAAAGCAACAAAACTAACCCCAAATCCTACAAGCAAACTGTTTAATTTAAAACCAATTTAATGAAAAAAAACTGAGTTTTTAATGTAAAGTACTACTCAATAATATATTGTTGTACACAAGATGTACATGCATATGTATACTGGTGAATTATTTATTGTATGCTACATACAGCATCTAATAATCAACATAAGGATTTAATAAACAATATGTCAGTAATTTATTGATTATAAAATCGTTTAATTCGTCATTAAAATATTTCGCATATAAGTAATAGTATAAACACACATTTATTATGATGAAACAAAAAAACTATTATCAAAATCTTACATGTATCTAAAAATATACTTAGAATATTTTTCGTTTGCATAGCAAACAGTCACATTTTATAATATCATTTCTTAACATCATATCTTTAAAAATAGTTTCCAACGTATACTTTCGTTATATTGAATCTTGACATCTTTACTCTCCTGAAAAATCAATACAATCATGTTAATTGTTGACCACTGAACAGTTATTGTAGTGCATGCATAGAATGCAATAAATATAGGTGTGATGTAGAAAAATATTAAACTACAAACTGTTTTAATATTTTGTGTAAACTGGATTAATATTCAACTAACTGTTCAACTACAAAAAAAAACTATATATGTTGCCGATTGCATGTAAGTTAAGCAGAAAGAATTAAGTAGCACATATATAATATAGGCAAAAGTATAATTTAATTCATTCTTGTGTTAGGAGATTTCAACTTAGAATTATGAATTATTTTATTATGTAAAATATTGAATTTTACCTAAATATATATTTAAGAGTGTCATGGCAGTAAATCCTACAGAAACAGCTGCAAATTGTATTAAACCTGCAGATGGACATGATCGTTTTTGATGCCAACGGGATCTCTCTCTTGGTAAAACTTCACATACAGTGACATACAAAAGTGTTCCACCAGCAAGTGCCTATAGAAAAAAGTGCCTACATTTGTATCTAACTATAAAAAAACCTATTGCTTTAGAACTTTATAATGATCTACCTGCATTATAGGAAGAACAGAATGCAAATTTTCACTATGGTCAGCAATAGCCATTCCTGCACCAATACCAACTACTGAACCCAAAGAAAAAATCAGCATGGCAGTCACGGTTGCACAAGCCTAAAAACAAAGTAGTTTTATAATATTTGAGCATCATAACAATGTCGTAAAATTAAACAATATTTCAGAAGTTCACAATGCAAACAAATCAGACAATTGTTACCCTTACCTTTCCGACTGTATTTGCTGATAATTCTAGACCTAAGCAAAAGCCAACAACTAATTTGTGTGAAGCAACCGCTGACATAAGAAGTATAACCTGCAAAAAAAAAAAAAATATTAATTCAGGTAAAAATAATTTTATATATGTACATGCATAATAAAAGTAATAAGGTTCAGTCTTTTCTGCATCAATGTGAAAATCTCTATACTTAAATAGGAGAATTGTAACATTGGTTTTGCCAAATAAAATATGTTACTGCTAAAAAAAAAGTATGTAAGCATTGCAAAAAAATGGCGTATGACTAAAAATTCATGTGCAGGTATTCATAAAAATTTTTATAAATTAAGTTGACGCTAACCTTAGAAGCAGATTCTTGAAGACCTATTGCCAAACCTTCCAAAATTGCATGCAGAGACAAAGCAATTAGCAATCCAGCTCTACCAGTTGCTGAACTATTGCATGGCTCAGTATGATTAACATGACAAATTCTTGCATTTGAAGATTCACCAGGACAGCAAGAAGGTGATGATGGGTTAACCTCTTGTTCGGTCAATTCGTGCCTATGTGAAGTTACCAATTGTGGATTATAAGGCAATTGTCTTTGATAATTATGTGCGTGAGAATCCACAGACCCATATATCGGCTGATGATTCTGAACTTGACTGTAAGTGTCATCACCATGACGAAGACTTGTATGTTCCTCACGATGATGATTGTGACCTATAGTTTCTCCACAGAAAAAATGAACTAATTCATCTACTAAGTAAACAATGAAAAACCCTACACAGAACAATAGTTCAGCATATTCTGGAATTTGCTCCCTGACCTCAGGTAGCATATGTATTATCGATGTAGCCAGCAAAACGCCGCCCCCGAAACATAATAATACTGTAATTAGTAAAGGGTATCTTTGTCTTCCATGGCTAGAAAATTTCAGCGGCAAAATACCCACTAAAAAACTGCTCAGACCTAAAGCTACCATAGAGATAATTTTTGATTCGTCCAACGACAACATTTTCGTATGTCAAAATTAAAAATACTGTTCCAAAATGAATCGTGTTTGTAAGGTAACCGATCACAATGTGTGAGTCATATAACACTACCTTAGCGAAATAAAAACATGTTCCAAACACAGAACTGTCAAGCACTATTTCGAGGTTATCATACTCGAAGATAACCTCGTTTAATTCAATATTACAAATTAATTGATAAGTTTTTTTCCATATTTTATAATGATTTATGAAGGAACTGTACTGTCCTTTCTAATGCTCTCGGCGAGATGGAAAATATTGAATAAAATTTCTTAAGGTTATTATCACTTTACAAATATTGACACTACCGGTATTGTCGTCTCTGTCATCTTCTTCACCACTACTTCACTTCCTTATCTTTCAGCTTGACCAACATGGAAACTGAAACGGTTTGTATCTAAGTTAAGATTATTCAAGTTTAAGCTAGCTAGTTTTTAAATCTGTATTTATTTGATTTGAATTGATTGTATTTCAAGAAACAATGAGACTGATTAGAAATAAATTAAACAGAAACTAGTGGTGTATGGCATCGTTCCTTAAGGCAAATTGCTGGAACTTCCCGTACCAAAAATTATTTTTTTAAAAAAAGATTAAATTTGTTTTAAACTTTGAAAAATTTAAAATTTTGATGAATTTTAAATTTTTGAAAAGAACTGAATTTTTTGAAAAAAAACTTAAAAAAGAAGACTTTTTTTCGTTTTGGAATATTTTGGAAATTTTAAACGTTTTTTCAAAGCAATCGCACTGCTTTAGCTGCATAGAGACGCAAGCGCCGCGTCGCCGTCTAACGGGCAAACAATGTTACGAAATCCATAGAAATGTAAACACATTAAAATCTCCATAAAATATCTGGTAATTTGATGTGCGTATGTCTAATGATTATTTTTGACCTCAAAATATCGTTTTTTTTTACTTTTTTTTACTAGATCTCCAAAACCGCTAGACCTGCCTTTCTGAAAAGTTTAATCAGTTGTTCATCTTGTCAATACAAGTAAAATGTTATTTGAGTTATTAAAATCGAACGCTCCGTTATCTTGAAAACTGAGTTACCGTTTATGGCACTTTTTGCCCCGTATCTTCGGAACGGCTAGACCTGCCTGTGCCAAAAACTAATCAGCACATCTCCTTATTAATAGAAGCGATTGTATTTTGAATAATTAAAATCGGTTGAATCGTGTTCCCAAAATCGTCGACGAAAGTACACATACATCAATTTTTGGCCAAAGTATTCAGAAATTTAACTTGCCCTACGGGAAGTTAATAACTTCCAAAGATTAATGAAGTAGTAAGAGTTGATAAATTTGTTTGTTTATTGTTGTTTAAAAATACAAGTTGTTCAACCTAATTAAACTGGATCGCATTGATTAAATTATGATTGAGCTATTATTCTATAAAACCTTTTAAAATTAAAATTAAAATGGTGGACAAGGGGTTAAACCTTGCTGTCTCATTTTACTTCGCCTATGGGTTCAAAAGTTCAAAAGTTAAGTTCAAAAGGACCAAGAGGACAAATTTTTGAGAAATATAAAAAAAACATATTTCTACAATAATGAGATAGCTGGAAGTTTTACCGAACATAATCGAAGTTGTGTATGGTATGTGTTATTTGTTATGTTATAATTGGGTTGATTTTCACAACATATTTGCTCCAGAATTTTTTTTTTTTTGCTCTCTTTTAACAAAGAAATATTCGAATTTCTCGCCATTCAATTTATATTATCAAGTATTGGGGCATTAAAATGTGAATAGATACCCCATACTGAAATAAATGGTGTATTGCAAGGTGTTCATGCGTGGAAGGTTTTGTGCGGCCCTAATCGGCTTTAACGAGTGCGATTGCTGCTGCCATATTCGAAATTCTCTTGGTAAAGGATTATTTGCGAATATCTAGGGCGTTTTGTTACATTGTTTAAGTTAATCTCATATAGTAGCATATTTTGAACGCTTTAAGTGAAATCATGACAAATTTTAATCAAACTTGTAAATGATTTCGTTAGACTGATTTTATAGGCTCATATTGTATAATAGTCAAACCAAGTCACACAATATTACAAACGTAAAGTACATTCGTAAAGTACATATAACTATTTCCTTTCGTTGTTCGTATTTTTTGTGAATTAGTTGGCTGTGAGTACTATTATTTAGTTTACGACACCTTAATATGATTTATAAATTAAATTCAATAGCTGTTTTTGTATAACCTCTACAATAGCTTACATGTGGGTGGGGTTGAAAAGACCAAAAGAACCCTGGCAAAGGTGCAAATAATAAAAAAAGTAAATAAATATGTAAATTTAGTTAATAAAAGTAAAATTTACTAGAGATAAATTAAATTAATAGTTATTTAGTCAAGATTATACACAGTGTTATGTTTGCAAAAAATGTGCTCATGCAATTTATATTTGCATTGGTTGAATAATTTAGCTATTTTTTCGTAAAATCTCTTTATAATTAAAAATAACACATTGGATCTGTTTCTCTTCTGACTGTCCCATTTTGCCCCGCCTTTGGAGTAAAAAGGACAGATAAATTTTAGAAAAATTGTGAAATCCCAGATTTCTATAAGTAAGAATTGCCTGGAAATTTTACTTGATTACTTAAGGTCAAATTGGACTTTTGTGCTTAGCTCGACTCTTCAGGTATAAAATAAATCTCATCATAATAAATCTTTTATTCATGCAAACATTCAATTTAGTTCTATGTTAATATACCTCAATTTGTTAATTAATAACAATTGAATGAATTTTCACGTCCAAAATAAAATATGATTTAAAAGAGTATTTAGAAAAATCTCACTGTTCTTTTATTATTTATCAGCATTTTATAGCACTAACTGTTTATGTTAGGATTTATTTTGAAAGGTAATCATATAATATGATAATTTTTTTTTAAACTTTAATTTTTTATGAGTTACAAAATGCGATATCTGAACACTCTAACCATAAAGGGTTGAAACTTCTGTAGTACCTACTTATTAATATTACAACCGCGTTTTGAGAGGATTTTGATGCAGAACCACCTGTGTCGACATCCGACAACTTTTGTGGTATTAAATTATACTTAAAACTTTGTTGATAAAGTTTACCGGTGCACCAATGTTCACCGAGGAGAATGGAGCACTAAAAATTTTGAATTTCATTAATTTAATATTGCGAATAATTCGAATAGGTACTGCGCGACATTTGTGTTTAAATGCTTCTTAATTAGTCGACTTTCTGAGTCGTCAAAGTTTGAATTGCTTTCGCTGTTGTCTGTAACGCATATGAAAATTAAGATTTTAACTTGATCGCTTATAATTGTGAATGCAATAATTTTATAGTTGAGTCAAATCAGAACCAATCAGAACTTAATTTAGAAAATGATTTTTGTACAAAAATACACAACTGGATTTTATAAGCCATTTGGAAAACGTTTTTTTTATTTTTTTTTTTATTTTTTTTATTCTGCAATCTATAATTTGGAAAACACATGATATTTAAATTATTACTCCTCTAATTTTTAATAATTATTTATTAGTAACAGTTAAAAAAAAAATGATTTTTAAGCATAAATTTATCTATTACCTATATATAACAATGATTAAAATATACTGCATTACTACCTTTTCAGTAAGAGAAACGCAATTTCAAATGCTAATATTTTTTCAACTCTTTACTTTCCTGTAAATAGTTATAAATGCCACCTGCTCGTTTCAAGTTACCCCGCCTATAGGGTAAAAAGGTCTAGATAACAAATTTTTGAAAGGTATCAAAAAAGCACATTTCTACAATGATGAAGTAGAAGGCAGTTTACTGAAAGTAGTCGGATAATTGTTTGGTTGATATGTGCTATTTGTTGTGATATAATGCCTCGCCCTGCTCTACATATACACTTTTTATTAAATTTAATTTAATTCATCGAATGTTACTTGAAACTTTTCAAAAAGCAGGTCAAAGAAAATATACTTAATTCATTTTCTATCTCTCCTCTCAAAAATTTGAAAATTTTGTATAAGCTCAGTAGTATTATTTACAATTATACACAAAAACCAGAATCCAAAAACAATCTGAAAAACTTGAAACGTAATCAATAAGTCGAAAGACCAAAAAAGACTTGGATAGATTATACTATGTTTTCTATAGAAAGTGTATAAATCTTCCAGTTTGATTGTACTGACAAAATATAGACAAACTAATGGGGTTTATTGCTTTTATAATACTTCATTGTATATAACATTCAAACAACTCATCCTTATCAGTGGCGGATTAAGCCATCTGCCGCCCTAGGCCCTATAAAATCAGCCGCCCTTTTTAATAGACAAAAATTTATCTTATTATTTAAAAAATATATTTTTATTTTAAGTTACTTAATATATTTTTTTTTGAAATAATAATTGTTAAATAATACAAATAAATGTTTATTCAATATTAACAATATAATATAAATATAATACTCATTTTTCCAAAACTATAATTTATAGCTATTCGTAAATATTTTTTTCTGGATTTTGTCTGAACAAAAACATCAACAATATCATTGTAATCAATTTCTTGAACAAGTTGTGCTTCGATAGTCAGTATTGCTAAAGCACTAAGTCTATCCTGGCTCATACTTGCTCGTAAATATGTTTTTACCCTTTTCAAAGTAGAAAAAGATCTTTCTCCAGAACAATTTGTAACAGGAATACTCAAAAAGATCCGTAAAGCAATGTCTATATTTGGATAAACTTCACGAAGATTATTAGAATGCAAAAAATTATATATTCTTTGTGCGGAACGAACATCTTCTGTACTTGAAAAAGATTCTATGAGTAGGTGTTGTAAATAAATGCATTAATTTCCTAATGTATCTTCCAAATCTTCAGGATACTTAGTGACTAAGTCATCTGCCCGAATTTTTAATTCTCTAGTTTCCATTTCAGATAAATTGTCAAAAATATCAAATTCTTCATAAAGCGTATGATAAGCAATTTTACGGCCTGCCAATTGAACACTTAAAGTGTCTAAAATTCGATAATAAATATTTATTCGAAAATTTTTTTCTCTACATAAAAATACTCTTTCATACTCTTATGACTCGTCTGCCTGAAATTTTCGGGTTCTTTTACGATGGTTGTCATGATAATAGTTTTTTACCCCAGAAAGTGCTTTGGCTTTTTCCTCGTATTCGGAAAATTGTTTAGCTCTCATGTCCTGTAAAAATAATGCCAAAGAACTATACGTTTGTGAAACAGATGATAAATTAGATTTATTTTAGATTTCCACTTAATCAAACCGCTGAACCTACCTTCTTATAAATTCAATTAATGCTTC